ATCTTTTTTTCGATTAATAGTTGTGCATAATAATATGAACTATGTGTAATTCTATATGAATAATAATTATTATGGTGAAAGACGGTTGACGAAGGATAATTTTATAATAATCTATAAATGACATTATCGATGAAACAGTTAAGAAAATAATAATAATTATTAATTAATATATTTATATTAATAATTAATATTAATTAGGATCAATGTATTTATATTAGTTGAATAATATTTATTATATCTAAGAGTTAGGATAACTTGATATAGGAATAAAAAGCCAATGTATTGTATTTCTGGAATAAACTCATACATATATTTAATTTTTATTACGTCCTGTTTAATTATATTAGTGATTTTTAGATCTAAGTGAGAACGGTGGACCAAAAATGGTTTCCGGTGCGCCTGTCGGCTCTGATTCGTTTATAAATTAAAGACTATACGGACAGTGGCGGTATGCAGAGCTGTCTCAAACACGTAATAAACTGTGTTGTTGAGATTCATTTGTTCTTCGGTGTACAGATTCACTGCAGCAACCGATGTATATGCAATACTGTCGATGCCTAATTTAGAAACCGGTCGCCGACGAGATACGTTCTTGTTCCGCGGCGTGTATAGGTACCTATATTTTTTTTTTACATTTACATAGTATGTATAATTTATTAAAACTTCCCAAAAATGTTAAGGTCTCAGAACCTTTTATTCTAACTACACAACATGCATTAGGAGGTACTATAGTAAAATAAAAATCAAACTTATCTGAAGCGAACCATCTAAATTAGGCCAGATATTTTATTACCTTTCTCTTTAAGAGGAAATGTAGAATGAACGGTGAATATCGATTTTGAATTATATTCTTACCTTATTACCGTCTGTACTAGAAGAATTTTTTTCATTTATGTTGTTCTGTGTTCTTGGTGAATAATAATTTAATTTAAGAATTAAAAATCAACGGATATATATGACGGCATATCAAAAGGAAAACACAAAGTACTAAGATAGGTCAGAGTATTATCTTGACGTGTGTGGGGGTTACTTATAATAATCTCTTCGTGTGTTTCTCCCTTAACAGATTCTTTATTAAAAACAATTAATTGATATTATATTACGATTCATTATAATTATATGATGTGTGGTGTTCATATCAGTGGCGTATACAGAAAATATTTTCGAGAAGGGCTACTATGGACAGAGTTAAATTACCTCTGCTATCTAAGAATTACTAACAGAACACAGCAGGTACTTATCTTCATTTCATTTACAGAATGTTTCAAAACGATTTGACAAAGGCATTAAAATTGGTTAATTTTTACAGCGTTCTTGCTGTCCTTTTGTATAGACGGTCAAAGGCGAGTGTAAAAGACTACGCAGATCGTCTATGCAGAAAGATATAATTAGTTGCAAAACGTTCTATAAAAATTTAAAATACGTGTATTAATGTGTGTAAAAAGAAGTTTAAATAAAATTATTAAACGTGAGTAAAAGAAAAAGTTATTAATATTTTAAAGTACGAATTGGTTACCTTATCTCATTCCTCAAACATCAACCGCGGTTTTCAACAGGCAGGTCGGTACAATCACCGGAGAGGTAATATTAAATATTTATAATATAATAATTAATGATTTAAAAAAACATATAAATTAACATATAAAACTATAATTTTTACATCATTATTTATGTAATTATGGTTTTCTCCTAATGTATATAATTGACTAATATTAATTTGATTAAATGTTATTGTAAGTATGACCATGAATAATTAAGATATAATAAATGTATGGCTAATATATATATATATAATTTAAATCTATTACGTGTAATATTAGGGTATACTACAATATATTATACATATTACAGTACCAAAAATCAATATTATTTTAAAATAATAATCATCCACTGTGCCAAATGCAGTTTCAGGGATATCCTGACAATTTAGATGGAGGATAAGCGATGGTAAAATAACAATTAACCAAAATATATTGATATTATTAAGCTGCTCGTGGGATTGCTAATGCCCGATCGAGCGACTTTTAATAAAATCGTCTATAGTCTATAAATTACACCATCTATAATATTGGTTTTTCGATATATTTATTTCATGTCAAATTTAAACAACCTAATAACATTATTTTTGCCTATTAAAATACTCATCTTTAAGATGTTTATTCAGAGCATAGAAAAGATAAAATAATTTACATAAAAAAAATACTTAGTGTTTTGATAGAATAATGCGTTTTTATTATTATAAAATGTACATAAAACATATATTTATTATTATAAATTATTTATTACAATTATACGGGCTCTGGGTCCTTTTTATCATAAAATATTTGAAGTAACAATTTATATACAATCAAAAGAAAAAAATTAACTTAAAACAGAAAAGTAATATACCTAATCAAGTTAATAACAAATCGTTGAAGGTAGGATCTGCATTGACATTTGACATGAGGTGCATTAAAGGTTTATTAGCCATATAGTTGGTAGTGATGTGCGGGATATAAAATAAAAAAATTAAAATTTCTTAAGAATACAAATACATAGAAACGGAATGTATATAAATAATAATAATGAGTTTCGTTACACCTCTTAACAAACAAAACATATTTTTTTGTATTAAAACAAAATAATAAATAATTAAATACATTTAAAACTATACAATTTCATTATGACTTAAAGTTAGTACCTTGGCCAACTTTTACATCTTAAGTATTACAATGGTGTATAAATAACTTATGTATGGGGGAGGATCAGTTGCAAAAAAATTACTATGGAAGGAAAATTCTTAAACCCAAGTACCTGCACATTTAAATAATAAATAATAAATGATATATATTGAATGTGTCAAAATAATAATTTACAATAAATCCTTGCAATATTTTTTTGTTTCCTTATATCATAATTTCTTTACAAGAACACTATTTTATACAATTTTAAAAAGACCTATCGGGAGGATCTGATTCGCACATCTTCCCTTGTATACGCCCGTGAAGTATTATATGTTTTACAATTTTCACAGTTATAATTATTTTAACGTTAATTTTATATGTAGTTTAAATTACTTGTTACACATTTTGTTTTTATTATATAATTAATATGTATTTAATTTTTGTTAAATCTTAATTTATATGATTACACTGTGTTTAAAAGCCAAATGGCGTATATTACAATAAAAAAATTAAAAAATAAAAATAAAAATTATAATCGTTTTTTCAGTAACCGGATACAAAAAAATATATTTACATAATATTATCATTGATTATACATACTATTTTATTTATAATCAATGATTTTAACATTAATACGTATCAAATTAGAGGACTGTGATAAAATATTAACAAAGATGATTGCACACTAGGCGATTCGAACGTCGCGATTTATCGCTCAAAATTAAACATATACTTTTCCATGGGTTTTTTCGCACACGTAAAAGAGACGCACGTTCGGTCGCGCACGTTTAAGTTTGAACGTTCCTTAACTATAATTAAACAATAAGTTCCCAATGTATTAACAATGCATTTTCATTTTTGATAACACACGGTCTATTCGGACGCCGCGTTTATTTTTCGTTCACTCATAATTTGTGCCTTAAATCTTGTACAAATTAATCTCCGTACAAATTGTATTAATTTATATTATAAATATGTTTTACTCGGAAGAATAATAATGCGATAATACTTCAAAAACTCTTCCGAGCGACTACGTAGTCATAAATATCACCAGAAACTGGCAATTTTTTCTGGTCTTTTTAGATTAACCGGATGGACCTAATATCGCCTTTTTTTATTATTATTTTTTTTTTTGTTTTTGTTATATGTTCATCGTTCAGTGCGAACATAACACATGTGATTTTTATATCGTTTAAACTTTCCATGTTTGAAAATATTAAACGATTTAACAGTACGCGAAGTACTACCATATTTGGTGATAATATATGATGTGCAGTAGCAACAAGATTATTATATCACAAAATACAAATGATTGGTGCGCTTTTATTCGAGAAACGCGCCTAATGTGTAAGCGAAGTAAGTTTGCGTTTTACAATCGTTCGAATCGCTCAGTGTGTCAATCAGCTTAATACTAAACCTTATCTAATACGATTCCAACAGAACATCGACAAAATTAACAAGTACGTTTTAACAGATGATAAAAAGTATAAACACTGTGAACAGTGAACATGGTTCGAATAGGTATACAGCCGATTGAGTCTGGTAAAACGGTAGTCAAAAACGTGTACTATTCCTCATGTGGAAACCGAGTAAATTGTGAATCCGTGTCTGGCAGTCGTAACGCGAACGAATAAAACGATTCGGCAGTTCGATTTTCGATAACAGCGGAAAACGGTTATCGTCTGCAGGTTCCAATTCAAACATGTTCGACATTACGGACCGATTCCGACTAATTGCCGAATAGTGTTTTTTTGATGGTAGACGGGAAATCCCAGATAATCACCAATGGTTATCGAAATAAAATACTAATTATAGTTGTCTGTAGTGAACGATGTGTTCGATACGTACGACGCGCAAGTATACGTTAGCCGTTTCGTTATTGCAGAAGATTTTCTAGAACTCGAATAATACGTTTGTCGGACGCCATCGTTTCGTGGTGAAAACCGAAGATTTTGGGGTTGGTACGTTCGTAGGGTATTTATTTATTTTTTTTTTTTTTTTTGTCGATCAACGATACAATGCGACGGTAGGTACGTTAAAGAAACTCGATGAATCGTCTGAACCGATCCCCGCGCGTACACCGACGGCAAAAGGTAATCTCGATAAATCATCCGGAGTTTCTCCGAAACTGTGACCGTGTACGCGCCGTATCGGGCGGGCTAACCCCCGCGCGAACACTTGGACGGGCGGCGGAAGGCGGCGATCGGTGTCCAACAGGACGCGGTAACGCGCGAGGAACAGGTTGGGGATGCTGGCGCGCGTGCGTGCGCGACCGTGGTGGGGTGCAACGGGAGATGTACACCGCGCGTCGGCGGCACTCTCGACCGTTGTCGTCGTTTCGACTCCGTCCCGTGTCGTTCGGCTCCGTCTTCGTCCGTGTTCTCCGCGTTCTCACCCCCGGCAATCTTCTCGCGCGTAATCGCCGATCATCCCGTCAACGATCCCGATACAGCAGTCTGTCCACCGCACAAAACACACGTCCGTGGCAGTAAACTTCTGGGGCAGCAATGAACAACAAGTAAGTTGTGTATTTCGTTTACGTTTCGCGTCTCGCCGAGCACTCCGCCTCGTCGCAACAACAACACGTTAATCTCCCCGTTACGCATTTCAGCGGCGCAGCGACGTTCGGCCCGCAAGAGCCTTTCGTCACGCTCAGCCAGGTTCGGGACATGTCGGACAGGGACATGCTGTCCAATCCTGTGACGCGACTGGTGCTGCGACGCGCGTGGCAAATGGTCCACACCATTCTGGACCACGATCCCCAGCAACCTGCTGTCGCGGTGCAGCAACGTTTGACCGCGCAGATGGCGGCGTCCGCGTTGGTCCCCGAGCCGAGGCGTACGTGTCATCACGTGCCGTGCCGATGCGGTTCTGCTCATGGGGCGCAGCAGGGCAACGCGCACCGACCGGCACCGTATCCGCCCGCGCCACCCGTCTCCGGGGTCGCCGAGCCGAGGCGTACGTGTCACCATCACGT